TCATCTCCTTCAGTAGGTTATGCTCCAGTCCCGACAAATCCACCACCCCCAGAGTACCCATACCCATTAGAGTCACCACCCCCCTATCCAACAAAAGAAGCGGAACCACAGTACCCACCTCCAGGTCAATCATATCCATGGCAACAGAATATTGGCAGTGCACCAACCCCTGAGAGTCCGTAAGCTGTGGGGTTCTGCTTCCAAACACCGGGGGACTTCGCTTTTACACCTCCTAGGAGCCGGTTTGTAGAGATTATGTTTATCCCGGTATTAGCGAGCCAACCTGGGCAGAACTGCAAACTGACCTCCGCTTAGGTTATACAAACTTCCTTCACCAATAGACTGTTCTTTTCAGAACTATTCTCACTCTGTCGGACGGTTACTACACGAAATACTGACACTCCTTGGCTCAAACTTGCCATAACAATGAACAAACAAAGCTAAAATAACAGTAAAAAGGATAATTTTATATTTAAATTGGTACATTCCAGGGGTTTCATTAAGGGCCGGGCAGCCTGCAAATTGACCGGCTGTGAGGATGATTTTTGCCTGCCTGGTTTGACCATCTAGCGGAAAGTTTTTGTTTGTATAGAGAATTTCAATTCGAATAGTTTTGCCCGACTATGAAAACCGGTCGTCCCCCCACCCCCTGCTGAAAAAGTTAATGAAACCACTGGTGCATTCGCCTAGGAATAGTTCTGGTGCGTAAGGACTGTTTAAAACGAAAGGTGGATGCAACAATATCAATAAAGCTTGTAACTTCTCGCAATGTATGATTCAGTTTCTATTTTGTTTTTCGTGGCTACGATTAACTCCACTTTGTACATGGCTCTAAGTTTTAGTTGATTATTGGATGAATCAATCACGACTTTCATTTTTATATCGACAAGTGATAATTGCCTTGTTTCCCTGTACTGTGATAAATAAATGTATCACGTTCGACCTTGAGTTATTCATAATGCCCAAAAGAATCGTCTTTCCGTTGAAGTGTATTTTGAACGATTTCAAAAAAGAGCGCCCCAAGCTTAGAATAACATAGCCTGCGAACAGGCTCCCGGCGGGGACGGAATAACAATTTGGCGCGCGCGAAACAGAAGAATTTGGATAACAGTAATGGCAAAGAAAGCGCAATACAACACGGTAGAGATCACTAAAATTCACAAGGGACACACAAGGGGTGAGTTAGTTTAAGTAATCCTACGAGTTAACAATCTAGTCCCTGAACTCTTTCTTCCCCGCCCCATAGGGGAAGGGGTTGAATTCAGGTCTGTGGGTCCAATCCCTATTTTTACAATAATTGTCTAATTTCTCGCGCGCTGATTGGCTTATTTTTATCACCTACTGAGAGTACAGAAAGATAAAATTTTAATTAATACAAGCTTTCAAGTTCAACTTTCAGCTGTTAAACTGTCAACTTTGTAACCAATAAAATTTTATGGACTTTTGTAAGTCGCCAATCAAAAAGCGAGAAAAGCTATCGACAATGTTCGCGTCATTTTCTATAAAATTCACTTATCTTTGTTTACGGCAAGTTTACGGTGTCTTTTCCCCTCATTTGACCATTTTGGGGTCTTGTTATTGTAAAAAACAAATTGACGTCAGTTTTTTATGCGTCTGTCCTCCCATTGATGATAAATCTCGTCATAATGTCGTCAAAGTTCACTGCGGAACCACTCGCCTGCGCACGTGGTTCCACAGCCATTTTTTCAATGTTATGACGCAAGTTATCATCAATAAGAGGACAGAAGCATAAAAAACTGACGTCAATTTGTTAAATAGAGCAGAGTTCAGGGTGTTCATATTTCGGGAATATTTAGCGTGCTTTTAAATCGACGATATTTCATTCCCCTAACAACTTTTCATAGAACGCTCAAATTCCTATCTGTTCTTCGCGTACGTACGTACTGCCTAACACCGCATCATCTGGAAGATCACCGTACGTTCAGACTCGCGCAACGCCTGACGCTTTCATGAATAAATATGTACGTAGGTATATAATTTTGCGCTTCATTTCCTCGAGACGTCAGCTTGGCATTCCTGTGACTACGCAGCCTGTTCGGCTAGTTAATGGACGGGTTCCTGACGCGAGACGTTGATCG